TCTGGCAGACTCCCGCCACTGGCCCCCTGCCCAGGATCCCTCCTTCGTGAAGCTTCCCTGTGTTACCCTCATCTCTGCTTTCCCCTTGCTCCAGTCATGGTCATCAAACTGTGCCACCTCTATGAGTCCACACCTGAAAGGCAGGACTGATTCAGCCCTGCTTAGGACCCAGCCCACGCTGGGTGCTCCATCCCCTGTGTTCAATTTAATTGCTGCCGATTTACAGTGTTTCCCTGTCAAGGGTCTCAGATCCTACAGCCATGCTCCCAGAGGAGCCCAGTGCAGACCCTTCTGTGGCTTCCCAATTCTATGTCTTCTGCCATTTTCCAGTATGTTCCAAATGAGCACCTGCTGGCAGCTTGGCAAGACTTTCCACACAGCACTGTCTTCGATTTTTCTTTTTTTCTCTGTCAGCCCCTTCCTCTTGCCACACTCTCCCACCTCATTATCTCAGCTACATTTAATCCCTCCCCATTTCTGCAGAATGTGTTAAACAACTCTGGTGGCTCCAACCAGTACAAACAAACCAGCGAAGCCAGGCTGTGAGAGGCAGCAGGAAGGATAAGGCTTTCCAGACTCTGAATCCTGTTTTCCCCTGTTTCTCATTCACCTGTGGGGTGGACAGTTGCCCTTTTCTCTAGATGAAGCCAAGCCCAGGCCAACGTGAGCTGCCCCTTCCCTCTCCTCCTTTGCTGTTGGCGCTCCATGCTCTCAGCCTGTGTTAATCTGCTAGAAATGCCATAACCAAGGGCTGTACACTGGGTGGCTTAAGCAACAGAAATTCATGGTCTCACAGCTCTGGAGGCCAGAAGTTCAAGATCAAGGTGTCAGCAGGGTTGGTTTCTTTCGAGGCCTCCCTCCTTGGTTTGCAGACGGCCGCCTCCTCCCTCTGTCCCCTCATGGTCTTCCCTCTGTTCTTGTCTGTGTCCTAATCTCTTCTTCTTATAAGGACACCAGTCATATCGGATGGCAGCCCACCTTAATAACCTCATTTTAAAACCCTAATTATCTCTTTGAAGACCCTAGCTCCAAGTACAATCACACACTGAGATACTAGACTTAACGTATGGATTTGCGGTGGGACACAATTCAGTCCACAACACAGCCTATTTACACCTGACTCGCAGCTCAGAAAAAAAGGCAAGCAAGTGATTATCTCAACTTAGATGGAGATCAGTGTCAGCTCTTTTAGGCAGTCTAATGGGAGTATATTGAATAAATAAAAGACATGATCATATAAACAGGATGCTGTACTAAGAAAAGTACATTTGGGGTGTTACAGGTAACCAGCATTAGTTATACTAAGCAAAGGGCAATCTATAAGCAACTCCATCGGAGACCTGTCCCTGACGACATCAAAAGCGTAGTATTTCTGGATGATGCCCGAGCCTCTAAGAGTACCATGCTTTCTTAAAAATATTATATTTTAAATACTTTGGAACTTGTAAAGAATAATATCCTAAATTTGGAAAATATTTAAATTTTTACGTTTAGAAAAATAGATGAGGTGTGTTCAAACTGATGAGCTACACTCGTGCTGATCTGCTCTGAAGGGCAGCTAGCCATCATCAGTTTGAAGACATCGCATTGCTTCCCACGCCTCCCAGCCAGAGGGCCCTGCTGTTTCTCTGATTAGTAACCGCTCATCTCCAATGGTGGACAGGAGCTGAGAGGCTCCTGGGGAAGCACTGACTGACTTCTGAGTCAGTCTTACCTGAAGTCAAACTCACTTACACCAGCTGGGCGATCCCAGGTAAACCATTTCGGCTTTAAAGTTTCTATTTCCTCTTCTGTAATGGTATCACCAATACCTAACAAAGAGGACTATTGCCAGGATTAATTTTTATTGGTTGTTCTGAACTGTCTGGTTGAATTCTGGAGGGTAAGCAGGACCCCAGTGTCCAAAAAAAAAATGTTTAATTCCTTTGGAAGAAATATATCTTTCTTAGATTCTTAGACATCTGAGATTCGTCTCTCTCTTTATATAGTCATAGAACAAACTCTTAAAAGAACTATTTTATTTTCCTCTAGAATTAAGCCCTGGTTTGCTTTAGTGACTCCTAAGTGAGATTGCAGCCTACTAATTTTTTTTTTCTTCAGTGAGTTGTGTCTGAGGAAGAAAAATTTAAATTGATTATTATATTATCCAGTTCCTTGATGGTACTTTACCACACCCAGGACAGATAAAATATTGATGAAATGGTAAAACGGACGACTATCTCATGATTCAGTGACTCAAAACTGTAAAAAGCTTTTGTCAAGTAACAATATTTAGAAGGACAACTCAATAGGTTAGAGGGGGGTAGACTGACACGCAGATATCCATCACCTTTTATTAAGCAAATTAAAAATAGATTTAGTTTTTAGTGTGTGTTCCTACAGAATAAAATTTACTGGATTCAGTTGTTGATTATGTGCTCAGCAGGTTGGCTAATTACTTTAGGCAGATGCTCGATGCATATTAATTTGGGTTCCATGTCAATTATAACTATCTTCGGTTCATAACCTAGCCTCTACTTAGCACAGATGAGTAACAGTAAGGATGTTCACTCGAGATGCAATTCTGGAGCGGGACAGCCAGGCATCCCAGAGAGATCCCTAAACTGTGGGGTGGGAGCCTGGGTTCCAACGTGTAGCCGACTCCCGGTCTTGGGGCAGTCATTTACTTCCCATAATCATACCAGGTGTACATGCCACATTGGGGTACCATGTGAATCCGGGGGGCAGAAGCATCACCACGGGGGACCAGAGAGGAAACAGCTCCTGAAGCACATTTCCAAAGGAGTACTTTGCTAACAATTGAAAGTAAAGTGCTAATTGATGGTTAAACACTTTTCAGGGAATATAAAAGACTGACAATCTAGGTGCTGGTGACAATGTGCAGCACTTACAATTCTCACGCACTGCTGGTGAGAATATCGAATGTTACCACTACTTTGGAAATCAGTTGGTAGTTTCTTTAAAAGTGAAATGTGCATTTATGGTTACGACCCAGTAATGTCCACAATTCCACTCCTAGGTATTTACATATAAGACATGAAAACTCAGGTACACACAGAGACTTGCACATAAATGTTTACAACAGCTTTGTTCATAATAGCTTCAAACTGGAAATAGTCCAAATGTCCATCAACAGACATTTGGATAAACAATCTGGGGCAGAGATACACATATGGAGATATACTATATATACTATTCAGCAATAAAAAGGATTAAATGCAACACAAAATGGGGGAACCTCAAAAACAGTATCTGAGCAAAAGAAGCCAGATACAAAGAGAGTATATACCATGTGATTCCATTTTTAGAATCATGCCGAATGGGTCCATTGTGGCAGAAAACAGAGCAGTGTTGTCCCGGGCCAGAAGTTGAGGGGGAAAGGATTTCAAAGAGGGTGAAGGAGCTCTGTAGATTGATGGGCAATTTCTGTATCTTGATTATATGGTGGTTTCACAGAAGCATACCTTTGACAAAACTCATCAAACTGTGTGCATAAAACGGGTGTATTTTAGTATCTGTAAATTATATCTTGGTAGAGTTGAATGAAAAAACTGAACATAAACACATGCACGCACGCACGCACGCACGCATTGGGAAAGTGGTGACAAGTGGGAAGTCAGAGCCTCCCACGCTGGCTCTTAGATCTCGAGGAGGTGGGAAAAGTGCAGTGCCTGTTTTGTAGGTGGCTCTCTCGCCAAAGATCAGGGCCTGGCCTGATTCTACTCCCAGCCTGACTTCCTATTATAGAAACCTTTTACAAAAAACCTCCCTACGTCTCTGGGAGTGTGATGATGGCTATGAAACACTTTGGAAAGTCCACTGTCTAATCAACAAAGGTGGCCACTGCTGAGGCTGTCTGTGTACCTGAGCCAGGTCCGGGGCTGCCCTTCGTGTGGGCTGGCTTCCTAGGGGGTCAACACGTGGATGGAGAGAGACCCTTCCCGGGACTCAGAGTGGACCTGGTGCCTGCATCCATTTCTCTCCCCTCCCTCCTTCCTCCCTCCCCTCAGTCAGCTCCTGTCCCCTCTCAGAACAACAGCGCTTTGATCATCTGTAGAGGAGTCATGAATGCCCGGGCGTAAAGACAGCCTTCCTTACAGCACACAGCATTTAAAAAGCTAAGTCCATTCTCCCTTGGGGCACTGTGACCAAGAGCCAGAGCCCCAAGGTCAGATTTCATGTGTCCAGAGGCCAGCTCCTCCACACCTGCCGAGTGAACCTTCAGAATCCTTTAAACTCCCTGTACCTCAGCTTCCTGGTTGGTGAGAGGCGTCAGAATGATACCCACTGCCCAGGCCGATCTGACAGTTAAGTGAGAGAGGGCATGGAAGTCCCAAACAAAGTGCTGGCATAGCGTAAGATAGTGACAACCCAGAGCTACAAATCTGAGTCGATACTTTTGTCCTGACTGCCTCAATTTCTCTGATTTCTACAGGATCTTAGAGAGCATTTTCCCCCCGACTCCACAGTGATACACCTAGACTCTTTGGTCTGGGAGTGCAGAAATTTCCCATGTACACTCAGTCTAAACTGGCACTTTCCTCAAAACACCAGTTACATAAGACAAAATGGCCAGGCGCAGCCTGTCTTTGATGCTGAGTTTTGCATTCTGAGCTGATGGCAGGCGTTACACTTTATCCACATGTACTTGAGAAGTCAGTCAAGTGCACTGTAATTGCACGAACAGGCGGAAAGCGTCCAGTCACACACCGTGGTCAAGAAATGTAGAAAATGGGGTGCTCTAGTAAGCCAACGAGGAAATTAATAATACATTTAGAATTACTAATAAAATGCCTGTCAAGGCAGCAAACATATTATATACAAAAAACAACAACTACAAAAAAAAAAACAAACCCTGTGTTGTGTAGAGTGTATACTCTTCCTGAGAAGTATGTATTCTTGGAAATAAAATGATTCAACCCCAGATGAAACTTCTGTTCCCTGGCATTTTTCTCCTAATTTTTCACGCCTTTGTGTATTTTTTACATCCCCCTATGTAGCTCCACCAGCCCTCCCAGACGTCAGTGGGTCAAGCAGCCTCCCAGAGCAGCCTTCTGCACCTGACTCACAGCCCAGCATCCATGTCTCAAAGCCCCGTCCGGCAGGCTTCCTCTTCTTCCTCCTCATCCTCTTCCTCTTCAGCTTTGAGCGTGGGCCAGTTAGTCAGCAGTAAGTATCCTTTCTGGCTCGGTTAAATCATGGTGGCCTTCTTGTTGCCTGATTGCAATGCCTCTCTCTGTCTCTCTCTGTCTGTCTCCCCCTTCCTCTCTCTCTCTCTCTCTCTCTCTCTCATTCTTTCAAGTCGAAGAGGAATTTCCTGGCCCTGCTAGGCCAATATTGGGATGAGGCCACACCCAGGGCCTGACAGTTCCTTGGGGAAGCAGGAACCCCCCAACACACATCACGAGTGCGTGTTGGCGCCAGTTTCCATCCTAAGTGCTCTCTGATGTGCTGAGTCAGTCCCACCACTTTAGAAGGTAGAAACTGATCAGTTTTCAGGGCATGAGCCACGTAGCTCAGAAGTGGAATAACCAACAACAGGCACTCAGCCGGCAGGTCAGGCTGCTTTTCTGTGTGTTTGAAGTCCCCTGACATTCTATTAGGTGTCAGAGGAAAGAAAAGAGCGCGTGCCTGTGGGCTGGTGGGTGTGTGCACGCGGGGTGAGCTGCCTCCAGTGGCGGGAGGAGGAAGGCACGCCGGCTGGAAATGATGAGAAACCTCTGAACAACCATCCACAAAACAACACAAGCTAGCAAGTTGGCCTCCCTGAGGAGGCCATGTACACATTTTAGAAATAGTATTTGGCCCGAGTCAAGCCTCATGAAGACAGCATATGTATCACATGCAAATAGAGACGTGTTGAGATGAATGTGACAATGGTCTAGTTTAAGGTTAGTTATTCACCTTTAGTGTCCTTTGTACTTACATATAAAATCACAGAATGTGTGTATAGATTATAATTCTCCAGCCTACTAAAAATCTAACAGTTGTGGGTTTAAAGGGGCAGAGCACGGGGTAGGCACCTGTGTCACGAATCAAGGACACACGTGAGTATCTGTGTTTGGCTGAGTGTCATGAGTGACCTGTTAAAGCAGGAAAGGAAAGGAAGTCTCCCATATCATGGGCCAAATCTGGAAATGCCAGCCAAATGGAGGGTTGCCATGTCTTCCCCCCACAAGCAGCCTCCCTAAAAGAGAATATTTATGTACATACATGCATATGCATATATACTCAACTATGTGGTAACTCAGGCAAGAAAGACGCATGTGAAACGGCGAAGAGAATCAGAGATAATGGAAAGATTAAGATGCCCACGTACTTTAGTGGATGAGCCTGGATGCTCTTGATCTTAACAAAATATGTCGACACCAAAAGAGTTTCAGGGTTCATATGGAGTCTGCCATCAACCTATTACTTTAAGTTGTTTAGATACACAAATCCTCTCATCTGGGCAAAAAACTAGTCTTACTTCAGTAAATTTATATATAAAATTAATTTACTGATAGCCAGATTTTCCCCCAATAAAGAAACTCCTCATAGGGTTGTTGTGGGGAAAGATCCAAATTTTGTTCCAATTTGATATTGTGTGTAACTTTCCACAAAACACTCTATTTCTAAATACCAGCAAGGTCATAAATTTACAATAGGTTGTTCAGCTTTGTTCCTGAAAGAAAGGAACTGATATCAACGATCGTATAGAGAAGAAATAAGTTAAATATGAAATATTTAAATGTGAAAAGTACAAACCACCCTACGAGTACAGTATTTTACGCAAGGTGAAGACTCAGTACATGCTGGTTGGATAGAGAGATGAATGAATGGAGGAGACAGAGATGGATGGATGGTACTGGCTGCTCTCTAGCCACTTGTCTCAAGCTGGGCAGGGAAGGATTAGCCTTTCTCAGAAGTCAGGAACAGAGCTACTTAATGGGCCAAATGAAATTTCAATTGCACAGCGGCCAATGGAACATCTAAGATCTAGCTGTATAATGAGTGAACCATATTGCATATCCTTAATAAGAAATATAAAGAATTGGGGAAAAGAGACTCCTTTACCGCATGCACTCGAAACAGGAAACTCCAAACTCATGCAGCGCCTTGAATGAGAAGCCTTCTCTGGCGGATATGAGAGGGCCCAGCAGCACCAACACCGGGCCTCAGACTTTACACAAACCTACTGCTGCGCTCACAATTGCTCCAGATTTTGAGCATGTTGTTTAGTTAATTCCCTTCTGTCTCAAAACCCAACTGTAGAACGATTACTATACAGAGCATTTCCTGATTTTGATTACCCCCAACAAACTTCTGTTTAAGCCTTCATTTGTAAAGGAGGGTTTTCAAAGCACTTTCAATACTTTACTGATTTTCTTACTCACAAGACGGTCATATAAATCTTCATTTTCAGATATTGAAGCTGGCATCCAATAGATCTTGGAAAGTACAACTTATCTTGACCATCTAATGTCGGAGAGACCAGAGTCAGCCTTAGATGAGAGGCTGTGACACTGTGTGTGATAAATCCCCTGGGGGACAAAGCCAGGATGATAACCCAGGTGGTCTGATTTCATTCTACACAGCCTTCAAAGGCAGGATACTTTCACATGAATTTTATCCAGTGAAATTTGAATGACAAAATACATCAAATCACCTAAATATTCTTCAAATAATTTTAAAATCCTGAACTCACATTTTATAATTAAAGCACAGGCTTTTTCCCTGAGCCAATATGAAAAGGAAAAACTAGACTAGACACCTTGCATGTTTTGAAATTTATATTCAAGCATGAAAGATGCATTTTAAATTACCTTTGTCTGAGATTAAACTTTACCAAATTTGCAGATAGGCTAACGTAGGAAGACCCAACCCAGTCCTTCAAATGTAGTTTTTAACACAGGTTAAATTATAGGAAGAAAAAAGTGTGCTTTAGTCAGAGAATGTCGACTTTAAAAAAATAAAAAACACTTTTTGAACACCATACACATGCAGGCACAAGACTAGAAATTAAGAAAGTAAAAGAAAGCAAGATGTGGTCCCTGTCCTGGGGGAGATAATGAACTGATAACAAAGAAACACAGTTACAATAAAGGGAAATAAATGCTAGGTTCAACATAAGAATAAAGACTATGTAAATATAGTAGACAGTTATCTCAGTTTTAGAGACTGAGACAGAACAGAAAGACTTGCTGGAGTAAATAATCCTTGAATTAAGCTGGATGGTTAATGGATCAACAAATTCCTCCATTAGGCCAAGGCCATAGTTTGAACCAGGTCAAACTGGATTTGAACCTGTGATCAAAATCTTGGTGAATGGACCCTCCCAGGTCACGGTCAAGGTTGCCTCGGGTTGGGCGACCTGCCATTGCTCCAGATGAACTGGAGTGGGTGGATCATCTGTAATCTGCCCTACTCTGGGCAAAAGAACACAGTTACTACCAATATGCCCACTCCTTAAGACCTCTGCCCAGTACCTGCTCACAGTACCTACACAGCTTGTCCTGTGTCAAACCTGGCTCTGTCTCCACAGTCACCAGAGATAAAGATCGTTTCCAGAAAAAGGGCTTTTGGAAAGTTTAAAAAAGTCAAACAAAGGACTTGACCAAGTCCCAAACTGGCTTAAGATTTACACAGTACTGTTTAAATTTAGGTAGGCATGGGACTTTTTATTCTTTGCTGGGTTTGGTTTTTCAAGACACTTTTTTTTAAACCCCTGGCCTATAAACTTGATTCTTAGACAGCAAAAGGACTGATAGTCCATACCAGAAAACCCAAACCACAAAGTGAGCGTGAATGTGCATGGTAGTCCTTTATGGCACAACGGAACCCCTGATTCACTTGATCACATTTCACACCATTTCCCACAACTCAGTGAAGTCACCACACTGTAAGTAAGCTGTTCTCCCGAATCACATTGCACATCCCCAAATGGTTTCTCATTTCTTAGAAATATTTGGTAAATATGCCCATTAGTTGCCGTAAGAATATCACTAAAAAGCTGATGGATGTTTCAGAGGCAGTTAATCCATCCTTGGCACCTTCTTTAAAGATGCATATTTCTCCTGTAACAATCCCACCAGCAGAAGCTGCAGAAGGATGATGTTGGTGGATGGTGGATGATAACACCTTACACGAATGCCCAGGCACACAGTTGGAAGGAGCTGACTTTTTAAAACGAGACAAAAGAAAACATCGTCCTGGTTCATCCTGAGTGCTCAGTTCAGGATGGGCCCAGTGACTATGTACCCAGATTTGCACAGGCACAGAATGTGCCTTTAGTCCCCATGAAAATCTTTTCTTTTTCAGCCCATGTGTTCCAGATTTGATTTGGAAAGCGCCACCATTACACGTATGAATCACTGCCCATGTTAAATGCCAGTGTATTGTAAATCTCCAGGCCAGCTGATCCCAACATGGGTTGATCTCCTGGCTCCTTTAGCAAGGCTCAGATTAAGGGCAAACCAAGGAAGTCACAGCTTTCTGACTCTGTGTTTAATACACTGGGCCGACTTAATCTGGCACAAACTTTTATAAAAGGTGCCACTTCCTCCTCAGGGCAGAGAACTCCCGGATTGGGTGCCCTGGAGCTGGTTAAAGGGATTTGAAGCCTCCCTTGGAGCTTCCCATCAAGGTGGCCTCAGATACATCCTAAGAGTTAACGCAACCTCCCCGGATTCAGGAGGATGGAAAGCCAGGCTGACTGATCCCAGGGTGAACAGTAAACCTCTGAGCTACACTGAGAGCTAATGTGACTTTCCAGGGAAGATTCCATTCACTACCTTCACCCCATTTCCCCTCCTCAAACAGAAAAGCATAAATCCCCTAGGGAAAGGGAACTGTCCAACAGTGCAGGAAAAAAACCTCAAGAGTTTAAGACAGAAATTTAGGGATCAAAAAAAAAAGCATTTCTTTTTTTTAATTCATTCAAAACACCTTATAGACATCATCCAATTCCTTCTCCCAATGTGTGAAGACAAACAAGTTCCACATCTTGTAATCAGAGTAAAATTAATATTTGTCCATGGGTGGGCCCCTTCTTTGGATGTGGAGACTTTGGTAGTCCTGGGACCCATGGAGTGAAACCATAGTAATACATTTTCCCCTCTGATTTTATGGCCGAGAACAATAATATAAAGAAAGCCAGGAAGCTCATCTCCAGCAAACAACAAACTGCACAAACAATGAGATACTGATTTCCCCTCCCCAGGCCTTTGCCCAATAAACCATCACCCTGTTTAAATTTCACCAGAACACCTATCTTATCAGGGCCATAAGTAGAACCAGGAAAGAGACAAGAGCAGGAAAGGGGTGAGAGGAGGAAGACGGAATTCAGCTTCCTGGTGTAAGGAGTATTTGTCTGTGAGCTCAGTCGGGCAGGCACCCACCTCCCTGAGCTTTAGAGTCAAAGTTTTGCGAATCCACACAACACTGCTCAGTTCAAGAGGGTAAGAGGCCATAGCTTTCTTTTCAACTCTGGTTATCATCAGTGATCTGGCTAAAAGCAACCTGCACAATCACACACGTGGATTTGGTGGCTGGTCTCAAAGACCCAGTAAGGAGACAATAAAGGCAGCAGGGGAAGGGAAGACACAAGATAGAATGGACTTACATAGACTTGTATCCCAAGTCATATACCTGCCCGGTACTGCATTGCCAAGGCACAGGCCCTCGGAAACCCTTCCAGATCAACTCAGTTGATTCCTGTTGATCTGGAGGTGGGGCTACTATACGGCAACAAAGTTACTTCCCACGGGAACTACTTAGCTTTGCTCAGAGAAAAACTCTTCCCGCAATTCCAGACTCCACTGGCCACCCCAGCCCGGTGACACCCAGATGTCTGCCACTTGCCATAAACGGTGGACCTGGAGTGGAGGAGGGGTGAGGATGGGGGTCTCACACAGGTGGTAGAGAAGCTCTCTGTGTAGTGGGACCTGGTGAATAATGATGGTAAATGGTCGAGTGAAGACATGCAGAGGAGGCCACGTCCAGACTCCGTCAGGCCAGAGCCACAGAGAAAGCCTCTGTCATGGGGTCAGCGGGTCCCCTGCACCACAGTCACCTGTGGCACTTGTTAAAAATGCATGTCCCGGGTCCTATCCGATGACTCCTAAAGACCTACCAAATTAGGAAAACCACCGTCCTAAAAGCCACACTGTCACAAGGGAGATCTCTGGCGTCCATTTCTCACCCTCGGTTTTGAACCTCCGCTGCCCACGTTTGCAGGGCCAAGCTCCTCCTCCTTCTCTCTTGGAGAGAAGCCAGGCCCCCCTCCCTGTGCCCCTCTCTACCAAGCTTCCCGACTGCTGTTTTAATTTTGCCTCCTCCCCTAACCAGGAGCCCACTTAGACGTTTCTGTCCTAGCTGCCCTCCTTCCCCAGGGAAATGTTAATACCGCAGGTATATGGCACATTGGTTCTGTTTATGGACTTTGGTTTTTTGGGGGGACCACAGCCATTGTGCTATCTAAGACCTTTCCACCTTCCCTTCCACCACCTCAGCACCAACTCCCGCTCTGGGGAATGGATGTTCTAACTGCAGGGTCCCAAAACGGTCCCAGCAAGGCAGCCAGCCTGAGGAGGGCTGGGGTTGAGGATGAGGAGGAGCTGAAGGGGACACCCAGCATCGGTTCCAGCTGACTGATTGTCCCCACGTGCCAGTGGGGACCTGGTGCTGCCAAACCTAACATTTCAAAAGAACACGGGGGAAAAAAGGAAAAAAAGAACAACATGGAAAAATCTAAATTTTTCTTTAGAAATCTCCCAAAGTTTCATGTTGGCAAGTAATTCTCCCATATCGTAAGCACTAGAAAAGCTGTTTTATTTGCCAGCTCCTCACTTGTAACTTCAGCTGTAGGAATTTTTAAATGAAAAAAAAATGGAGAAGAGGCTCAAAGCTGCTGTGTGCATGGATGTAACCTCCCTAGATCCTTAGCAAACCCTCCAAGCTGCCCCAGGCTGCTGTGCTGGTAGGAATTCAGATCCAGAGGGCAGCCCCCACCAAGCATCACCGGAAACAAGGCTTCATTAACCTTGCTGCCAGGCTTCTGGGGTGAACTGGGGGAGACAAAGCAGTATTTTAATTCATCGTAACAGCCAAATTGGTTGTATAGTCACCCTCTGCCCTTGTCCGTGGACGTAGACTCTCAACATCCTACCCTGAAATATTCACCACTCCCAGCACGAGCCCTCCCCTCCCCCCACCAAAGCACTTGCAGGCCCCACCCCCCGACCCGCTCCCACCTCCTGCATCTGGGCCTCTCTGCACCCTGCTCCCACTGACCTGAGCAAGGCCCCTCCATTCTCCAAAAGCTGCCCACTGGGTAAGACCCAGGTGAATCCTCCCTCCTGTCATCTCTCCCTTCGCTATAAATCCCAGCGTGCCTGCCACCCCATCGGTTCTTGATTATACTCAACCTGGAACTTTTCTCTAATTGTTTCTCACTCCTAACGTTGAGCCCTGATGCCCTGGAGACAATACACTCCACAGAGGCCGGAACTGCCCCGTCTTTTTCTCTTGCTCCATCTTTCTGCTCATTCGGACTCCCAGGAGTCACTTAAGAAATACTTATCGACTAACTGCAGTGATTACACCCCCTTTTTCACCTATCTTTCTGCAATGAAATTATGCTTAGCGACATGTAAAAACTCTACGGGACTTTGTTTTTCACGAGAAGGTAAGGGGACAGTGTAAACCGCCATGGCTGATTCTGCAGACAGAGCCCATTTCCCCTGTAATGAGAGAATCCAGACAGGAAGCACCACGCCCCCCACCCCTCCCCAGAAGTTAACATCTTTATTTAAAAGTCCGTGAAAAAGTGGTCCTTGGGATGCAAATGTTTATCTCTTTTCGTGATAACAGGAGTATCTCTAGCCCAAAGCCCAGAAAACCCCAGTTCCTTAGCCAGGTCGTGGAATGGACTGAAACTGGTGGGTTATCATGCAGAAAGAGGAGAGAAACTTTTCACCTACGTCTGAGGCGTGAGGTGAAGAACAATAGAGTCAGCATGCAGGGAGAACGGCTTCGCTCCCGGCAGGACGGAGCAGCACTTTGAAATCTTCCACAGTCCCCAGCCCATGCTGTCTCCAGCGTGGTGCACACTTTCATTTACCCAGGGCTCAGCAGCCAGGGGTGGGGGAGTTTCATTTTCCAGCTGTTGTGTCATTTCCCTTGATAAGTCCTAAATTGACCACGTTATCTGGCACCAAAGGGGCCTTCCTGCGGTCGGCATTTTTTATTATGTGCCCTTTCAGGGGACAAAGGCAGCTGTGTCAGTAAATTGCTTATGGTGGGGCGGGGGGACAATGCTATTCTCACAGCTTCATAAGCATGTTCTTCTGAGGAGCTAATGTGAACATAAGAAATTAGACAGCATCACCATCTATTAGCCTGGCTGCGGTGGTGCTCAGGTGAAGGAAAATACAAATTACTAGTTTTTAAGGGCAATTTTTAGCACTAAAGAGTCCAGTTAAGACATTTCAAATGGAAACCTCTTCGTCTTTATATTTTCACACAATATTTGGACATATTTATGGGCAAAATGGAGATACATCCCCCACAGCTAGTGCCCCCCTGCGCTGGCTGTGGTTTGTCAAGCCCTGAGGAACACGTTCTGGTTTTGTGGAGCGTTAGCGTGGGTGAGCTGTGGTTTTATCCGAGACAGAACTATCTCGAAGGGTGATTTGTGGAGGTGTAACGTGTTCAGGACGGGGGCTTGGGTGCCTCATCTGAGAAACAAAGAACATTCTGCAATGTGGCTTCCCCACCGCTCTGAGATTTTAAACGAAGCCACTTTCTTTACCAATCATAACAAACACAAACGACTCGGGTGGGTGTTGACGTATTGATCCTATTTTTAAAAACATCTCCACAGATCCTCAAACGGCAGCGGGTGAGGTGGATGGGGTTAATCTGGAGGAGATCCGAGAATTTGCCAAAGCTTTTAAAATCCGGCGCCTGTCCCTTGGCCTGACCCAGACTCAGGTGGGACAGGCTCTCAGTGCCACAGAGGGCCCCGCGTACAGCCAGTCGGCCATCTGCAGGTAACCCGTGCCCGCATGCTGTCACCTCTCCTGGCTGGCCCGGGCCTCGTTTGTCCTCTTGGCTCAGCTTTTCTTCTTCGGGTGGGCAAAGCTGGAGGGTTAGCGTGTGGGAAGGAAGTTTGTGGTAGTTAGATGTTGGAATCGGTGAAATGGATGGAAATGGAGTTACAAAGGCAGATTTGGGGGGCCTGGCTTGATAACTCTCATCAACTCACAAAGAACTTCCAAGGCGGTTTCGTTGGAAATACATCACCCCGGGGCCAGAAGCTTCCTTCTGGACCCACTGTCCTACGCAGCTGAGAGCCACTGCCTCCTGTCTGCAGATAGGTGCTGTAAAGCTACCAGTCCCACCTGGTATTAACATACCCACCGTATCTGCTCAGGGATGGCTAGTAGGGTTTTCCATGAAAACACGCCTTTCCAAACTAAAAAAAAAAAAAAAATTAACCATCTTGTGACTATGAAGGAATTGTTTTTTTACCTTGCCATGCCAGACACAATTTCCGAAGCAAAGTTTTTAAAAAGAAGATGCTGCGTTACAGAGCTCAGAAAAAGGGAGCCGAAACTTGCCCATTCCCTCCCCAAATTAAATAAATAAACGACAGAAGCCAGCCTTGGCTGTGTTCGAGTTGATCTGGGTCAAGCCGCCAGCAGCGGCCCCCGCACATGCATGTGTGTTGCACTAATCCCATGTTTATGCATGAGGTAACAAAGGCACTTCGGGAAGAGCTTTTTCCTCTTGGGCAATGTCTTCTGAGTCCTCCTCCATCAGGAAAAGCCAAGAAACCGACTCTAAACTCATTTAAGTGGATTTTGTTCTTGGTGATCCATGAAATGCTGTCTTTTTATCTGCTCTTTATACTTTTAATGTATTCCCCAAAGGACGGAAGTGTACTTTTCCTGCAGTTTAAGACTAAGGTTATAAATAACATCAGTATGGGGTAGTAGCTTGCAGCTCACATTTTGCTCAATGATTTTCCATAAAACCCATTGATTGTTGTTAAATACAAAAAGCACCATAGGATCCTCTCACTTCTATGGCCTCCCCTACTGTTTTTTCTTATAAGATACCTCCCTGTAGAAAATAACCTTTATTCAGTCTATACAAGGATACTACTGCTGGGAAATTTGTTTCAAGGCTTGTATATGTTATTCCAAACCACATGTACAGAAGCATCAACACTAACAAGCAGCATCAAATGATATGAATACTGTTGCTCCCTGTTGGGAAACATTAATTTTGTTTCATCTTGACAGCCTTGTGATAAAGGCAGCCACAGGTTTTTAAGTTGTTGCCAATTTGCTTTTGTTGCTAAAGCCTTCTTCGGCTTATCTTTAGTCCTAAAATGTGCTTTCCCTTTAGTGGCTTCAGAACTATCTAACGTTGTCACTAACACACGTCGTGTTTCTTGGGCAGTCCCAATCAAATATGTTGATTTCTAAAGTCTTCCCCAGGGGCAGCCAAAAAAGCTAGGGCTGAAATGAAAAGGGACTTTGGGAATTCACTGCATAATAGAATATGTCAGATGCCTTGACTTGTCAGCCTTCTCTAGCTTCTAGTGTTTCAGTAGCGTAGTTTGAGGGGCTAACTACCAAGAAAAAAAAAAAGGAGGTCTTGAAAGAGGCCAAAATCTGACTGTGAAACAATTCCAGTTAATTTAAAGAGTGGGAAAGGGTCTGCATTTGAGCCCACACACACTCCAGGGTCACTCCTCCCTTATTAGCTGCAGCGACTCCCAGGTGCTGCTTACACAGGTCCCTTCTTATCAGAGACACAGAGATAAAGACACCACCAATACAGTGGGCACCCCTATCAGAAGCTTTGTCCGGTGCCATGTAAAGCCAGGCAGGTTAAAGCCTTTTGTCATGCTAGCAAGACTTTAGCTTTGGGGCTTTTACAGTGAATGAAGGTAAAATGTGGTATGTGGCAAATTAACACAACAATGAGGGCTCTGGGGGAGCCTGCCACAAGAGAGAAGCTCGTTAAATGACATTAAATAATGAGTTCATTTTCTATTGAGAGCAAAAAGTACTTCTTTCCTCTTTGACCAGTATTGAAAGTTGGGTTTTAAAAAATAAGTAGATAAAATAAACAAATAACTCCTTGAACTATACGTGGAAGGGAATGCTATGGGAGTCCTATTAAAACTTGATACTATTTGCACTGCTTATCACAACATATCTAAAATGCAGTGCCAAAAATAAGATTAAGGCACATAAAGGAAGCCTATCCTTTTGTGTCCGTTTGCAAGCATCCTTATAAGGCATACTGTGACTAAAGCAGGTTCATTTTAGCTCTGTGAACAGTCCATTGTAATAAGATGCACTCTGCAGTCAGAGGGCTATTTTTCATCAGCGCTGAAGTTTGAAAGACAGAGGAGATTCTGCGTATCCAAAGTTCTCATCCTGGAGGGTTGTGAATTTGGATTTAGATGAAACAAACAAACAAAAGGCATTGGCACTTTTCTGTATTTTCATTGAGAGTGCGTGTGATTTTCATACCAGGGTGACCCTTTAAAACGTTGTGTATCATTTTGTCCAAGAGGCTTCGTATTTTTTTAAGTCACTGTAGCAAAGAATTGCTGATGGCAATTGATATATAGAAGACCTCATTTACAGAAAATGATATCATTCAAGTACAGTTTGCAGATATAGCACATTAAACACAGCTGGATACCCCGGTGCCAAAGTACCCCATTACACTGGCCTGTGTCAAAGGCATGAGGTGGCCCTAGCACATCCAGGGAGGGGTGTTCATAGTAATTACAATGCGTCCAGCTGTTTGAGTCCAACAGTAAAGAGGCAAGGGGTTGTGTTTTACCTGAAAAGGGAGCATGTTGTTAACTTACACATGGTGAAAATTGTTACCAGAGAGAGATGGAGATGGGAAGGGGGTGGAGAGGGGCGGAGAAAGAGATTAAAATGAGACACAAAACAGAGATGAAAAGAAAACCATAAAAGAAACTTGTCCCGGTTGCCATCACTGACTATTATAATAGAGATAACATTTTTATAACCAAGTCAATGGGGGACATTTCAGGAAACCAAATGTAAAACAGAAAAAAGAATCATTTGAAACGAAAGAACACGACAGCTCTAGTCTTTGATGTCACTTCCTGGCGTTAATTTTTGCCTTCAGGATTCTGAAGTTCGGGGAGTGGGGGGCGGGGGGGGCGGTCGTGGGTGTGGAATGGCGCTGGGTCGATTCAAATCAAAGCTTAGCTCCCAAGCACTCCCAGGAAAAAGGTCTGCGAGTTGTTTTTGTTTCCATCGTGATGGATGCTGTGTCGTGCGTTCTCCCCCCTTGCTCGCCTGGTCAGCGCGGGTGCGCGGGCTGCATGTGGGGCATGAGCATGCGGGAGGGTGGGCGCTGGCTTGCGCGGGGACGGCGACCTTGCAGCTGGCTGCGTATCCGGAGTGAATTCACTCTGCCAGGCAGGCAGGCAGGCAGGCAGGCAGGCAGGCAGGCAGGCAGGCAGGAGGCCCACCCTGGCAGAGGACTCAGTGTAAGACTGTTCTTTCTCAATTTTCCCCCCAGACACACCATCCTGAGAAGCCACTTTTTCCTACCACAGGAAGCCCAAGAGAACACTATAGCTAGCAGTCTGACAGCCAAACTGAACCCTGGCCTTTTGTATCCTGCCAGGTTTGAAAAGCTGGACATCACCCCTAAAAGTGCCCAGAAGATCAAGCCGGTGCTTGAGCGGTGGATGGCTGAGGCTGAGGCCCGCCACCGAGCAGGTATGCAGAACCTGACCGAGTTTATCGGGAGTGAACCGTCCAAAAAGCGCAAGAGGCGCACCTCCTTCACGCCCCAGGCCCTTGAGATCCTCAATGCCCACTTTGAGAAGAACACCCACCCCTCTGGGCAGGAAATGACCGAAATTGCCGAGAAGCTGAACTATGACCGGGAAGTAGTTAGAGTTTGGTTCTGCAATAAGAGGCAAGCCCTGAAGAACACGATCAAACGCTTAAAACAGCACGAGCCGGCCACGGCCGTCCCCCTGGAGCCCTTAACAGACTCGCTGGAAGAAAATTCCTAAAGAGACACCCGCCAGGAATCGGGGGGAAAAAAATCCACAGAAACTAAACTCCACCCTTGGGACTTCATCCCCTCACCCCTCCAAAAGAGAGGGGAAAAATTAAATTAAAAGTAAATAAATTTTAAAACAGCCCCCGTCATCACCCTTGTAAGTAACAGACTAAGAAAATTACCAAGTGGACTGGCTGGTTTATACATGTCCATTGGATTTTCCAAAAAAAGAAAAATTGTTTTTGAAAATTTTTAAACGAGGAATACACCACAGCGCAGGTGTGTGTGCTGGGATCCTTCCTGCCCCCACCTGTCTCCCCAAAGCCAGTTTTTTAATGGACTTAAAGCAGACCAAATAACCACGTACTTTTTTCTGTATATGATGAACATATGAACACATTTTAAGGAAAAAGAAAAACAACTAAACCAAAAAAAAAAAAAGAAAATCCAAAACAAAACAACACAAAAACCCCACTAACAACAAACAAAAACTTTTCTCTGTTCAAAGCAAATACAAGCCTGCCACCTGGAGGAGGGACTGCGGACGGCATTCTTTCAGGGTCTAAGTGCTGATTCACTATGAAACCTACTAACCAAAGTCAGAAACATGGCATTGCAAACGCGACCACGAGTCAACTCTGCTCTGCGTGTCAAGTTGTGTTCGGAATTTTTACATTTGTACTTAACGGAAAGATAGCAAGCCTGATTTCTCCCATCTTTCCCATCTGCTGTCACCACCTCCGGGGTGGGTGCTATTGCTGAAGCCATTCCGTGAGGCTCACTAGTGTTTTATTTGGGGGGCTGGGGAGGTCTTTTCCGTTTCTCTTTGTTTTGAGGGGGGTTGGGCATCCTGGATCGTGTGCCAAAGCATCCGTTGCTTTCTTCTCACTATGACTTGTGGGTTTGAGAAAAGAAAATGGAGCTCTCGTTGCTCATCTTCCTCCATCTCTCCATCTCCATCGTGCGTGGCCTCCAGGGTCTGCTGGAAGGCCACGGAGTGGGAACGATGTCTTTTCCACTCAGATCCCGGTGAAATGCAGGAGAGACTCCAAAATTACTAGGGCTTTGCTCGATGAGTTGTCAACACTGGCATAAAGCTGTAATTCTGCTCACTGTCCACACCAGAGCTTGGGATTTTTCTCAGTCTGCTGGCCACGTACATGGAGAGCTGACCAAAACTAATTTTGTAATATAAACATAAGCTGCACATTTGGTTCAATACTTACATCTATGTTATGCTTCTGTGCAAAGCAATTTCTCTCAGAAGTCTGATAGCCAAAGAAATGTCTCAAGATTTCAGTCGAATACACATATAGCATGCAAACACCCATATACACACAAAGAAAAGAGTCCAAAGAGAGAGGGCGAGTGACTGGATCGTTCAAGGCCATCGTGCATCCTGTAAAGCCCACCTTTTCCGCTACCATTTTGATTCCAATAGGGATGGGGGGGCGGGGGAGGGGAGGGGAGCAAGTATTCTTGGGATCTGTTAATGGAGCAGAAAGTTGGCAGACAAATTAAACAATTGGAATTGCAGCTGGGTTCTTGAGGGGAAAGGAATTTTTAACAAGGAAGCGCCTCCACTGAAAGGAAAAATGTAGCAGTCACAAGAGCCTCTACTCTCAGAACGAGGGGATTATTTCACTTTTCAGAATAACTTACGTCCAAGAACTGTGGGCCCAAATAACCTACTAAGCCAGAAGGAGAAGGTAAGAGGGGAGGATGGCTGTGCAGGTGGGACCTACAGCTGATGTTTTCTGTAGAGACAGGCAAAAAGTGTTCCATCATAAGCACAGGCGAAAAGAAGCATCCGAGATGTAAATATTCGGGAATAATTAATTCATAATCAATACTGCCTAGAAGTAAATTGTGAAAGGGAAAAAAAAAAGTGGCCCAACTGACTAGAAATGCCATCTTCTTCCCCTAACACAGTCCCTCCCCCCGTAGGGATCTGAGTTTCTTCTTCATTTGGCCCTTGTGCTGGTGGTGTCAATGCAATGGTATAACTGTCCCCACCCTACCCCCCTCCCCAGATGACTCATGCAGGAAACAGGAGGCCACCCAGCAAGGAAACTCTAAAAGAAATCCTGGAAGTGGAACCAGCTGCTTGTACAGGTGTTTCCATTTCGCCAGTCTGACGCTGAGCGGACCACCGCGAACCTGATCCTCAGTGCCGGCGACATCGTGGTACCCGTTTGGCCACCTCAAAAACTGCTTGAATAGCAGCAACCCAGAAATCCAAAAATGCATTGATTAAACAGATTTTGTATTCTCCCAGGACCTGCTCCAAATTCCATCAAGAAAAGCTCCCCAAGAAGAGAAATTAACAAGATAACATGATGGATGCTAAATGTTTAAACATATGCCAGCAGCAGTTACATAAGGCCTGCTCAGTTTGGAGATCTATAATTGGGAGGGTATAACTAAGACAGTAAAAATAAAAAAGAAAAGTAATCTTCCAGAATGGAGTAAAAAAGTATATTCATCCCACAGTCGTAAAACCATTCATGTGCAGTGATTTTTTTTATAGTTTTATAATTTTGTATTGTTTTATAAATTATTTATAAGGTGTTGTAATGCTTCTTATATTAATTTTTTACAGATAAATTTTTTGCTACAAGGCATTAAAAGGTGCCTGAACAGATTCTTAGGAATATAAATTATACTATGTAACTCGTAAGTCTTTGGGACCACACCTGTTGCTTAATTTTATTACGTTTCTTATTTCCACTTGTAAACAACTTCACATGCCAGTAACATTTAAGTGTCTTTTATGTTTCCATGAACTGAAGGTTAAGGTTGCCACTAACAAAAAATAAAAGCCGCTTCAGGCATATGTGATTGTATTTCAAGCTTTAACATTTTCTTTTATGTTTTTAAATTATTGTCATCTTCGTTTTCTTCATTGTTTGACAACAACAACAAAAAGACTGATGTTATATTTTACACTTGTTTGTGGGGTGGTTTTTTTCTTTTTAAATCAAAAAAAATTGTGAACAGTTGAGAGTTTTAATTGCATTGCAAGGTTTTGGGTTTCTTTATGTTGAAATCACACGATACACAACACATGCGTGCACGCACACCCACACACACACTCCACAAAAGAGAGAACAAAAAACAGCAAAAGGAGCTAGGGGAAAAAAAAACAAAAAACAAAAAACAAGTAGAGGCGTATCAAAGAACTCAAGCTATAACCAAAAAGAAATTGTAAAAAATGCCTTTGCTCATCTTCTCTTCGCTGGACCAAAGCTCAATGTTTGTAGGTATATGCACATTGTATAGATAATGGCTAAATGTTGCTGACAATCTTGCAATACTAAACTGTTCCTATTTAAGAAAAAAAAAAGAAATACAAACTGTTCATCAGTGTTTTACCTCAGCACTCTACTTGTACCCAGTTTATGACCAAGCTTAAAAAAAAAATGGAGAAAAAGGAAATTGATTTCATGTCAATGTGACTGTAAAATCTGTTTGGATACCATTTTGTAATGAGCTTTTTGTCACGTGATTTGCTTGTCTTCAACTTGAAATTATGCGAGGCACATTTGTTTCTTTGTTGAGAGTGTTTTTTTTTTTTTTTTTTTTTTTGTTCCTACGTGCTGTGATCCAGACTGGTCACCAGGGTCACTGAGGAGGCACGGAAGAGAGCTGCTTCTCCGTGCCTGGAGCAGGCAGCAGGAAGGAGGGTAGCAAACAGACTGGGTTGTTTGGGGGAAAAAAAAAAGCATCATGACGAGAAGTTGACATGATGGACTTGTGACCAAGAAGCCAAACTGGATATTTAAAAGCTCCTTACTTGCTCTGACATTGAAACCAAAGCTGATTTATCTGCACAGGTTGCTTAATGTTTAAAAAAAAAAATGACAAAACTGTACTTAATCTAGAGCAATATCTGTATGGTCGGTAAAGCTGCACTTTGTGTATTTCTTAACAGCTTCAGATCTGTCACTTTTAATTTGTACCATAAAAAATAAAGAATTGTTTGACATGAGCTTCTAGGCTAAATGTGTCTTGAACTCAGATGTGTCATTTAAATGGTAAACATGTAAATAGGAGTATGTTACAAACCCAAATGTTAAGAAAGGGAAGGGGTTCACAGCAGACTGATTGATATCATGATTATTTTAACTTTTCAAATGAAATACTGTATGAATTAGGATTCGTTTGGTTGCAAATGACAGAAAAGCAACTTGAATTTATTTAAGAAAAAAGAGACTAAGATGTTCGACTTGACTCTGGGAAGTCTGGCTGTGGACCCCAAGCACAGTCGGATGCAGTGGTTCCAAGGATGCCATCAGACTGTCCTCCCTGGCTTCCTTCTCAGACAAAGACCCTAGACACTGAGTCACACTCCTGTCTCTAAACGAGGCACTGTGTTGGGGTTGATGGACTTGAATCGGCCTCTCAGGGTCACACACCCACCCCTATCTGTGGTAGGGAGATGGGGCCTCATGATAACAACCCCGAAGGACCACAAGGATGAAGGAGGAAGTCTCCACAAGATTCAGAAGACAAGAAACCAAAGCAGGCAAACATAACCCAGAGCCACCAGTCTGTTATGAACACCCAGCTGTGTGCCAGGTGTTGTGGTGAATTCTGCCTGGAAGGCGTTTTTGCTGCTCTTAAACAATGCCTGTCATTGGATGTTCTGCAAAATTCAGGCATTTTAGAATACGCTCCTGCTTGAAGTTTAATGTGGGTAGTAGATGGGATGAGTTAATGTGGTCATGTAATTCACTAATTCAAAAGGAAAATGGGAACATCTTGCTAAAAATACCAGTAACTTTTTTTAAATGAGAATCACAATCTCCATACTTTTAGCAACCCTTAGCAAACATTTCTTATGCTACATAGAGATCCATATGTCAACTTGGTGTTATGATTGATGAGAAGTGCTTTGGGGGAAGCAACAGAACCAAAAATCCAAGTGCCCAGATGTTATGAAGGGACTGGGAAAGTGGTGGGAAATTTCAAGGCTGACTGGAATTAAGAGGAGCAAAAAAATACAGATTCTTCTGCCCCCACAGGGTGGGGGTTGAGGGGGAGACAAAATAGTCATTTTCAAGCTTTCTTTCCACCAAAAATACTCTAAAAATATTCTGGGCTAAGGTCCTGCTTGTGATTATACCTATTATTATGAAATATGTTTGACTTAGGAAACTGGGAAATGTCTTCTTTAAAAAGATAGCCATCATTGACATTCAATCATTTCATATTCCACAAATATCTGCTAAGTGCTTCATATGTGCCAGAAAGTTCTATGTGCTGGGGACTCAGAAATAAACAAAATGAATCTTGCCTTCGAGAAACTCACATTCATTCTGCAAAAGTGGTAACATTCCTCCAGAAATGAAAATCTTCCCATGTTTCTTGTGCTACAATATTTTACAAAGAAAATAAATTTCAGAATTAAAATGAGGAAAAGCGGTTCGGAAGCTGTGGCTTCATAACAGCAAATGAATGGGTAGAAATAGCCTCGGCTTACAAGACAATCTCCCGTATCTTTCTTAAATGATTTCAAAAGCTGTTCCAATAAGAATTTTCCACTAAGCCAACCATATACACATAATCTATTCGGTGTCAGGTGCAGCAGGTTGATGACTTTAATCAAAAATCCATAGTTGGAAAGAATTCAGAAGCAGTCTGTCACAAAGCAGTTGAAACCAGCTCCCCACTAACACACACAGGTCCAGACTCCTCACCCATTGTTCTGCCCTTTGAAAGGAGTCCGAGCACACAGCACTTCTGACCCATTTGGCTTATCTACTGAACCATGCGGAAAGTCATGGTCAAGGGACAAAGATGACGCCTAAGAAGATTTTTAATATATTAGATAAAACTCTGTCTAAAACATATGGCACATTTCTATGTTTTCTTAAAGCAGATTATGGACATAATGTACCTTCTTCTTGATTGACTTTCTCCTTCTGTTTGCTCTATCTTTTTAATGGCTCCATCTGCCAGCCATCTGAAGCAGAAGTCTGGGAGTCATCCTGATCCCTGTACACACGCACATGCACACACACACACACACACACATAAAACCCAAATCACTGGAAGTCTGGCAGTTCTGCTCCGTGACTTCCTTTTGCCTCTGTCTCCTGGTCTCCATCACCACGCCCCACCCCATCTGCCACTATTTAGTCCAAACCTACCCACTTCTCACCTGGACCATCATGAGATGCTCCTCCAGGTCTCTCTACTCATCATATACTTGCTACCAGAGAAATTATTCTAAAAGGCCAATATGAATATCTCTCTCTTTTATTTAAAACCTTTCCCACATTTACCTTTGCATTCAGAATGAAAAACAAATTCCTGCATAGCGTACAGTGCCTTTCATGATCCGGCCCTTGTTTACTCTAAAGCCTCATCTCTCATCAGTTCCCAGTTCATCCTAGCCTTGCCAGATTTCTTAAAATTTCTCCAATGTCCAAAGCACTTTTGGTGCTGTACCTCTTGCTCAGAATGTCATCCACTACACAGTTGACCTATCCAATTTCTACTCATCCTTTGAGACTCAATTCTGCTCAATTCCACAGACAGTTATTGGACTTCTACTATGTGCCAGGCACTGTGCTGCCTTCATCACATCATGTATTGGGTTTGCATATTTATCAGCCACCAATTACATGTTATAGCATCACTGCCTGACACTGCTGAATGACCTAAGGACTTGGTTTATAGATAAGTGTTGTGTGGCAACATAGTTTTTTAGCCAGTTGTTACTTGCATGTGATAGATCTTCCTTGTCTAATAAGATTAACAATAATCTCATATTTGTATAGTCTTCAAAGGTCTTTCATGTACAGTTTTATTTGCTCCTCACATAAGCCCTTGGATGTGTGACGATTTCTACTTTATAGATGAGAACTGAGAATCAGAAAAGTCAACAGGCTTGACCGAGACTCCAAAGTGCAAGAGAAAAGCTGGCATTTGAATACATTAGGCATTAGAGTACTGGCCAAGATGAATACCCATGAAACCCCAGTGAAACGGTGTCTGACACCACCATGTCTTTGAATCACCAGTGTAGAGTGCAGTATCTGATGTACAGTATACAGCTCAGGAAAGGCTCACTGCTGTTGATGATAAATCCCAATTATCTAATTACAAAGTCCACTAGGTGGACTTAGCCTGAATGGTGAGTAATTGACAGAAATAGTTAAAAAAAATACATAAAGGGAAATTAGAAATGCCTCTACATGTGGTGAGGCTTCACCATCACTGAAAGGGGCTCCGAATAAGAATGCAGAGAGTTCTAATCATTCCAAAGGCAAATGAGTGGAAACCAGTGGGAAAATGAAAGAGAAAGTCAGTGAATCCTACAGGTTGTTTGACTAATCCCATCAGCAGGGGAAGACCGTGCAACGTGTGTAGAAACAGGAAGCTGGACCGGGCCCTAGACTGGCGGGTCCACTCTAGAACTTTCTTTGATAGTCTCACGTCACTTTTAAGAATTGCAGTTGTGCTCCTTGCCAGACCTGCTGAGGTGTCATTTAGGAGCAAATCACACCCTTCACATCGCTTTATTTGTACCGCGTGGCGGCCTCGGTATGTGTTAAAGGGCCTTATTACTGAGGTCACGGGGGCATCATCTCTGAAAGTGGGCATGCTCCCAGGGTCTTTGGCCATGCGCACCTATGCAACGGGAGGAGAGCCACTGTGACCACACAAACCCAGAACTGGAGTTGCTCCAGAAACTGAACTTCAGTCAAAGAGCAAGGGGCCCGTATGCAAGGATGACATTTGTGGTAAACTGTAATACTGAAGTCTTCTGCAGATGCTCTAATAAGATGCTGGATAAAAGCAAAAAAGAGACCGGCATGTCTTAGATCCCTACTATATATGGGTATTCCTGTCCTCGTCTCCAAATCTTGCACCCTCACCTAAGACTTAAGACCGGCTTAGCTACTAATAAATGTTCTCATAGAGGAAGATCTACCAAGAATTACTTGCATCGAGAACAACTAAACTCCTTAACTGACCCATCACTGAAGTAGATCACTGGGCCTGAGACGAGCCCACTTTGGATCCCATGGTTCTGGTCACCACTTGGGCCACATCTATGACTATAAATGAAGGAAAAGATATTAGTTTTTGCTTGTTTTTCCTTCCAGTTTTTGGTGGTGGTGGTGTCTTTTATAATACAAGTCATCTATGTTTGTTGTAGAAAAGTTAAAAAATACAAAGAAACAAAGATATTGCCATTGTAAGAATATCGTAGTGCAACTGTGTTTCTTACATTGCTCCGTGTTAGCATTTACGGTGTATTCTAAATGATAGTCTTGAACTGCAGAGACAGAGTGTAAATTAGAAAAGCAAACATGGAA